AGCTTCCTCCTTCCCTTCCTGAACTAAGCCTTCAAGCATAACCTTCTATTCCTTGCTCCCTCATGTACCTATCTAGAGTTCCCTTAAATACATCTATGCTATTTGACTCAACAACTCCTTGTTGTGGCATGTTCCACATTCCCACTACTCTCTATGAGAAGAAATTTCTTCTAACTTCCCTATTTGATCTATTTGTGACTATTTATATTGATGGTCCCTGGTTTTGGTCTCCCCCACAAGTGGAAACATCTTCCCTATGTCCACCCTATCAAAATCTTCCATCCTTTTAAAGACCTCTGTCAGGTCACCCCTTACTCGCCTCTTTTCAAGAAATAAGAGTCCAAGTTTGTTCAGCCTTTCCTGATAGGTATAACCTCTCAAGTTCTGGGATCATCTACTGGTCAGAACAAGGGGGAAAAACTCTTGATTTTTTCCAATAGTGCTATAGGATCTTTAACATCCAACGATACAGCATATACAGAACTTTGGTTCAATGTCTTATTTGGAGGGTGGCACACTTGTCAATGCCGCACATCCCAGCGCTACATTGGAGTGTCAACCTAATCCATACAAATTTAAAGTCCTTAAATGGGGTTTGCACTCACCAACCTTCTGACAGAGGCAATAGTGTTACCTACTAAGCCAGGCTGACACCTTCTACTTGCCTTCTAGATTACCACTCGCAAAGATGTACTAACTGACTGCTGTTGTGTCAGCCTGGCTCACTTTCGCCTCTGGGTCAGACGGTTATGGGTTTAAGCCCCACTTCTTGAATTCACATAGTCTGAGCTGACACTCCAATGCATTGCTGAGGGTGTGCTGTATTTTTGGACGTGCTGTCCTACAGATGAAATATTAAACTGAGATCCTGTCTGCTTATTCAAAAAGAAGCAGTTTCTTCTCCTGTCCTGACCAACATTCTCTCAAATAAAATTGATCCTTCACTTCATGGCTGTTTATGGGACATTGTTGTGCTCAAGTGGGCTGCCTCGTTCGCCCACAAATACGCAGTCACTACATTTCCCAGGTAAATCCTGTGAAGCGCTTTAAGACCTCCTCCCAAGGTGAAAGGCACTCTACTAAATGCAAGGATTATTTATTATTATTTTTGATTTACTATCTAACAATAATACAAACTTTACTAACCCAACTGCTTCAAACCTTATCAACCCAGTCACTGCCTTCACTCAGCGGGTACCAGCATCCTCCATGTCCCCTGCTTTACCCACCCCATCATCAACAATTGGGCTTTCAACCAACCTGCCTAATTTCTTAACTCCATCTTGGAGTCTCTCCAACCTGTCCTCACCTTCACCTTTTTCAAGAGTACGTCTCAAGACCTTCTTCTTCTACTGTGTCTTCGGGCATCTTGGGTGCCAAGCCAGGACTGTGAAGCGCCTTGGGAAGTCCTGCCAATGCGAAAGGCACTATATAAATGTACAATTGTATTGTATAATAACGCTTGCATTTCAAGTATTGCCTTGTCAAGTCGTAAAAATGTTTCAAAGTGGTTTCACAGTTTTTTTACTGTTGAATGGCGGAGTCAGGCTCCACCACTGTTAAGCGCTCTGAGATGCTACGCTGCGTGGAGGGCGCTATATAAGTGCCAAGTTGTTGCTGTTGTTGTTGTTGAGTGTTGTGTCTTTGTACTTTTATTTAAGTTGTCATTCCCCAATTCTTATTCATAGATCTCAACCCATTTGCCTACAAATACACAGTCATTACACTTTACAGTAAAGCTTGTGAAGTGCTCTGAGATGTTTTGATGACATAAGTCAAATGCAAAGATTATCATTCTTACTATTATTCTGGTCCTAATGTTTGCAAGAGGTGAAGTTTACTGAGGCAGATCATGATTAATCAGAAGGTTAGATGGAAAGTTTCTGCTCTTAAACATGTTAGATTGCTGGTGAAATGGGGATTAAATCAACTAGAAAGAAATACTATACTTCCAATGAAGAAGAATGATGATTATTAGGCTGTTAAGACTATATTCCACCAGGAGACACTGTCCGGCTTGGAGGGCGCTATATAAATCCCAGTTGTTATTGTTGAGTTACAACTGTGACTGTAACCATCAGACTTTATGCTGCCAATGGAGATAGGCAAAGATGGGGGTGTTGTGGAGCATTGTGGAGCCTGTTTTGGGAGAGGACATGGACTGCAGAGCTCGGGATACTCTGCAGCCTTGTAGGGAAGAGCTGGGGTCCACCGAGCAGAAAGTTGGTGTAGTGACTATAGTGATGGTCATCTCCTCCCTCCTCCCAGCTTAGCATCAGGCTCCACCACTGTTAGACACTCTGAGATGCTGCCCCATGTGAACAGTGCTATATAAATGCAAGTTGTTGTAGTCAAGCCTAGATATGATCAAGGTGTGGATGAGGGTCTTGGCGGTCTGAGGGGAGATTATATTGGCGGAAGCGAGCAATATTTCAAAGGTAATGGGAAGCTGAGTGGGTCATAGATGTGGGGTTTGAAAGACAAAAAAATCACTGAAGTTCGCTACCTGCTCTGAAAAGTGGAGTGTGTAGGTTGATGTTGTGAATGCCTCAGGTGAGAAGCTACTGATGTGAGCCAAGCAGGAAAGCCTCTGTTTTATTGACATTCAATTGAAAAAAGTTGCAGCTTATCCAAACCTTGATGTCCAGGCAATCAGTCAGAACAGCAGTGTTCCTGGCGTCAAGGGAGCAGAGAGGTAGAGTTGGCTATTATACAAATATTAGTGGAAGTGAACCATGTGTCTGCAGATGATATCACTGAGTGTGAGCATATAGAAAATTAAGAGTAGAGGACTGAGGGTAGAGCCTTGAGGAACACTGCTGGGAAGGGAGGAGAAGCTGTTTGAAGTGACGAAGTGGAAACACAGGATAGGATAGAACCATGAAGGTGGAGCAGAGAGGAGAGGTACATGGAGAAGGATAGAGTGGTCGTGTTGAAAGCAGCCAAGAGATTCAGGAGAACGAGGAGACAAAAAGAGATCTCTGGTCGCAGATCGAGAGAATGTCCTTGGTGACTACACCCAGTTTGAAATGTTACAGTCCTTCCAGTACTCCATTCCAATTTAACAGTACACATTATCCATGACTGTTTGTGGGACATTGCTGTGCACAATTGTTTATTGGCTACCACAGTTCATCCACAAAATACACAGTCAATCCGCTTTACAATATATTCTGTGAAGTGCTTTGAGATGTCTCAATGACGTGATAAGGCACTATATCAAATGCAAGGATTCTGGTCAGGTAAACCAAAATTTATAAAATGTTTTTAATACAATCAATAACTGACAGGATACAATAATTATAGAAACAACAGCAATACAATAATCATAAATTATTCCATGTAAGTGCATAGCCCAGCACCTTAACCCAAAATGTGAACCTTAAAGTGCCAGATATTGATTCTGTTATGCTAACTAGGAGCAGTTCCTGCTTATCTGAGAAAAGGTTAAAACAAATTCCATCATGATATGATCAACAGATTTATTTTTCATTTAATATTGCCACAAAGGTTAAAGTTCCGATGTAAAATACAAATATTACATTGCAATAAAATAATCTATGATCAGAAATATTTCACACTTGTTGTATGTAGGGACTTGTGAACACTTCAATTGATTTAATTTCATTGTCATTTCATCCCTATTATTAAACTTGGAATGTTCCTGCTCCCAAACCAATTGCCTAATTCCCAAAAGCTCTTGCTATTTGTAAACTTAAACCATTGCATTCGCAATAAGAAATAAAATGTTTGGAGACTATGAAGATGTCTAGTTATTTTAACAGTCACATTGATAGCTTGTTTCTTTCAGAAGTGCCGCCCTTTCCACCAATCGATTTTTATATAAAATCCCAATTTTGCCAAATCTAGATAGATTTTAGCCTTCAGTCTCCAGCAGCTCCATGCAATTTGTAGACAAGTTACATTGTCTATTATTTTTTCCAATATTCTCCCCCCTCCTCATGTTGGACTGTGTTTCTACAAATACTAGTTAACCTGTAGTACTGTGTCCAAATGGCAATTCTTCATCTCACCAGGTTGCCCATCCAACACATACACAAGAGGGACCCCTGGCTGGTATTCCTCTCCTTGGCCCGCGAAGGTAATATTAGCCTTGCCGCACATTTGAATCAGCCAGGTTCCAGGCTGTAAGCTGCAGTTCTATCCAAAACACCATCATAGCTGCCCCAACTTGGCCATATCCAACTCAGATAACCCTTTTTAAAGAAATGCTCAATTGCTTCCTGCTCCGCTGTCCCAAACAATAGGACCACAGAGAGCTTCAGTCGAGCTTCAAGCTTCACTATTGTGGGAAAGTTCAGAGACTTTGACTACAATTTTACAATACACCAAAAATACAATATAAATGTATATTCATATAGCAACTTTCAAATAGAGAGAATATCCCAAGGTACTTAATCCGGGCTTGGAATTTTAGTTGATTCAATAATAATCACATCCTTTTTAACCATATATACTCTACAAGATCCCCCACCTTTCCTATTCCCCTCACCTATACACTCTATTCCCTACTTCCTCATGTGTGCAGCAAGTTTACTCTTAAGTACGCTTATGCTTTTTGCTTTAAACTATTGAGTTCCAGATTCTCACCCCTTTCTGTGTGAAGAAGTTCAACCTAATCTCTCTGTTAAATTAACCACCAACCGTCTTATATTTGTGCCCTCTAGTTTTGGACTCATCTACAAGTGGAAACAGCCTAACATCCTTATCTAATCCTTTCACAATGTTAAACCTCTCTATCTGACTGCCTCTGAATCATCTGAACTCCAGAGAGAAAAGCTGTAGCCTGTGCAATCTTTCTTGTTAGCTGTATCCACTTAGCCCTGGTTAAACTACACAGTACTTCTCACCGATTATTACACAATCTAAAGGCTGATATAATCGCATCATAGATATGGGGCAGAACAACGTGAATACAATTTTACTTTAGTTACCTGGAAAAAAATCTTTGTTTTAATCTCTTCATATCTCTTTTTTTCTTTGCTGTGCCCTCTTTAATCCAATTCAGGGCTCCTTTTTGGAGCCCATGCTCCAATTCTCAAGCCTACTTTTCTCTTTCAAATACAATTTAACCATTTCCAGCAAAATGTGAAAGACAATCAGGAAAGAATTTCATAAGAACATAAAAAAGATCTGGAATTATATCTGATAAAAAGGAATCAATAAAGCACAATACATAGTCGGTAAAAAATAGTTAGGATTGAGTCACTAAACTGGATTACTTTATCTCATTCGCTTACACCAGTGAGGTATTTGATTACAGTGAATAGTTTCTCAAATATTAACACAGACTTCAAATAGACTCTACAATACAGCTAACATCCAACTATTGTGATAATTTACTTCACAGAATAATCATTTACTTTTCTTATTGATATGAATTATCACCATTGGACAGTGAAAAATAGTGATTGTTCCCAACAAATAAAGTAAAACAAATGATTGACCATCTGCCGCACAAATGTATACAGTGCCTGTTTTAACAGTTACATTTTCTTCCTGCATTTCCATTAAGCAAAGCTGCTGTGTCGGGTTTGAATAGATAAGTGTTTCTTCTGCATCTTTCTATGCTACTCGATTTTGATCCAGCGAGTTTCATCAGTTAATTCAAAGTGGAATAGCTTTGTGAATTGCTGAAGTCACTTGAGTAAAATTGGCGAGCCATACTGTAGTGTCCTAAAAGGCCAAAACAGGGCAAAATAAAACAATAGAAATAAAGGAATCTCACAACCATATTTAATCAATTCAGACATACACAGATTGTTTCTTCAATTCAAATATATGGTAGGCTTGCAACGCTCTGAACGATGCCACATCTGTGAACCGCTTGGGTTTTGCAGTTAGTTCAGATAAATGATAAGACAAGCATTATTAAGAATGTTTCATTAAATATGGTTTGTAGCACTCTGAATCAGAAGGTCACAAGTTCAAGCCCTACATTGGAACCAAGAGCTCATAGACTGACACTCCATGCAGTGTTGGGGGATTTGCTTGTTCAGGTGGATGTTAAAGATCCCATTGCACAAAGATTTATAAAGCATGTACAGAATGAATCATGGCACGGATGTGGGGTGGAAAGGACAGCTGAGGGTCTAACAAGGTACTAAGGCTCTGGCTCAGTGAGATGGACTGTGCATCCATGGACGGTAATGCTGCCAACCCCGGAGGTGTGGAGGCACTGACAGGAGCAAGTCAAGAGGGTCTCGGTCTTGTCGATGTTCAACTGGAGAAAGTTAGCTCTCATACCGACATGGCATTTTCAGCATTCACATCGACAAGAAGCTAGCACTTTGATTTAATGTTACATGCAAAGGACAGTACCTACAGCTGTACATTAATAATAATAATAATCCTTGCATTTCTAGCACCTTATCACGTCATTGAGACATCTTAAAGCACTTCACAGAATATACTGCAAAGTCAATTGACTATATATTTTGTGGGCGAAACGTGGTAGCCAATTGCACACAACAATGTCCCACAAACAGTCATGGATTGAAGGGAACAATTTTTTTAAAAAAGAATTATTACCCTTGAAAAAACGATCTGCCAATTGACAAACAACTGTGTTCCTATTTACTGCTAGGAGTAAAGAAACTTCCCCAACATTTTGCCCTGCCGGGAAACAAACCCAGGTATCTCAATTGTGAGGTGAGTGCTCTCACCACTGAGCTACAGGACTCCACAGTACTTCACCTCAGTACTGTCCTTAGTACTGCACTATAGTGTCATGCTAGATTATGATCTTGTGAAGCTCAAACCCACAATTTTCTGATTCAGGGGCATGAAAGTTACCAATGTATCTACACTAAACGTTCACAATGGGTTTGTCAGAACATATGTTAAATAATTAGTTATTTGGAGAGAAACACAATAATAATATAATTCTGAGCAGGTGTAGAATCAAGAGAAAAAAACCTCAAGCTCAATACTCTGGAAGCTTTTGAGAGGTTAGATAATGAATTATTCTTCCTTCTAGTGAATAGATCTTTATCAAGAAGGGATAAACTCAGGATTACCACTACCTGAGTTAGGAGGGTAGAGGAAAACTTTCAATGCAGAGGATTATTAGAATTCGGAATGCTTTGCTACAAGTATCTATTGGTAGATAGCTGTTACAACCCTTAAAAGTGGATAAACATTTGTAGAGGAAGAATTTCAAAGAGTATGGGGAAAGAGCAGAAAATCTGTATTTGAATAGCAAGCTTGAGTGGATGAATTAGCACCAGCAAAGGCTCAATGGACCAAATGGTCTCTTCCTATTTTGTAATTGTTATGATTCTATTAAGTGATTTTTGGTATCTAGAATTTCAAGTTATATGTAAACATAAAATGCATTGAGCTTGTTCTCATTGCAAAAGAGGAGGAAGCTGTGATCTCATGTCTACCTCAGAGAATCCAAATTAATCCCAGATAGAATCCTTATAGACATCAGGGGGCAATTTTTATCCCATCTGCTTACATTAGATTCAAACCTAGATTCCAATTGTGCTTCTGCAGTATGCTAAAACAGTGTAGCACCCATTTATCCCAAGTCTTAAAACCAATATTAAATGATCAAAATTAGTTGGATTACAAAGCAAATCTCACACAACTACAGTAAATGTAGTTACACCCATTATTTTCCTTCGATAATAACCTTTTAAATCATAAATTTCAGCTAGCCATATGTGTCCATTCCCGGGAGTTACCTTATGATTAGATAATATGTTTCATACAATCACAGAAATTTATAGTACAATCAAAAGCCATCACTCTATCAAGACTGAACCAGCTATCAGAGCAAGCTGTTTGCTCAATCCCACTACCCTGCCTTATCCTTATATGTTTATTCTCATACTCACCTTTTTTCCCCAAAATGTTAGAAACCGGTTTTGAGAGAGGTGGTTTTGTCGTGGTAGTGCTCTGTGAAGGCTGAAAAAGGAATAAATCATAATGAGTGCTTCTACATCACAATAATTTAAAACATTTTGTCTTTTTTTATTCAGCTCTCCTTATAATAACACTTGCATTTGATATAGCCCTGTAGCTCAATGGTTAGAGCACTCGCAAGTGCCTTGCAAGCGAGACACCTGGGTTCAATTCCAGGCAGGGTGAAACCTTGGGCAAGTTTCCTTACTCCACACGCCTAATAATAATCCCTCCAAAACAAAACAATAATAAATTGGTCATTTTCAAACCACGACTGTTTGTGGGACACTGCTGTGTGCAATTGGCTGCTGCGTTTCGCCCACAAATATACAGTCAATTCACTTTACAGGATATTCTATGAAGTGCCTTGAGACGTCGAGAAGACGTGAAAAGCGCTATATCAAATGCAATTAAATTTGATATAATAATAATAATCCTTGCGATTGATATAGCTCCATATCACATCTTCAAGACATCTCAAAGCATTTCACAGAATATACTGTAAAGTGAATTAACTGTATATTTTGTACGGAAACACGGCAGCCAATTGCGCATGGCAGTGTTGTCCCACAAACAGTTGTGGATTGGTGACCAAATTATTATTTTTTGTTTCTTTTTTGAAGGGATTATTCCTGCCAATCGACTAACAACTGGGAACCTACTTACTGCTAGGTAAACAGAGGCATGTTGAGTAAAGAAAGTTGCCTAACTTTTCGCCCTGTCTGGGAATCAGACCCAGGTCCTCTCGCTTGGGAGACGAGTGCTCTAATCACTAAGCTATAGGATTCCACAAGACTTAGGCCAGGACATTTTGGCATGACAGAAAATCGATCTTTAAGACTGAGATCGATAGATTTTTAAAAACTAAAGAGATTAAGAAATATGGGGATAGGGCGGGTAAATGGAATTAGGTTAGAAGATCAGCCATGATCTTATTAAATGGCGGGGCAGGCTCGAGGGGCTTCTGCTCCTATTTCTTATGTTCTTAAAGTAGGTAACCCACTCCCATGCCACTCAGGAACTAGAATACTTGCAGTGGCAAGACGGAATATTTGCTATTGATTTGTTTCCTCTCTTCTTGAGAACAAGGTTCACTTCCACTTATGTAATAAACATAACTGATAACTAAAGGAATCACTACCTGGACAACAGGAGAAATTTACTGTTTTTCTACAGTTAATGATTCAACCAACTTTTAATAAATTTAAACATTAACTGTCCAATAAAGCTCTGTCTATATGCTTAGTTGAACAAGTATAACAAATGGAAGGGGCCTGATCAAATTACAACACTTCTCAATGTTAATTATGGCAAATAGTTCTGAACTAGATCTCATTTGAAATTTAAAGCAGTTTCCTTCCTCAGAGAGCTGCTCACTAACCTTTCAACCATTAAAGATCATATGATGCAGCCACAGTTTAATCAAATAAAATCACACTATGAGGATGAACTTACCTTTGTCCGAGAAGAAAATCCCGACAATGAAAAGGTCTTCAATAAGGCTTCTCGCACCTAATTCAGTAGAGCAAAAGATTTTGTTAGGGAAAGTCAATCAGACAAAGGTAAAGCAACTGGTGAAAATAGAATATGTAACTCACCTTACTGTCCATCAATATGGCAAATACCAAAATAAAGAATCCCTGAAAGAAGGAAAATAATCTTAATCTTAACCTTAAGACACACCAGACATTTAACTATTCAAACACATTTCAACATACTGTGCAAAATGTTGTATGACAGAGGCTAATGAGACTAAATAATGATAAGACTTTAAATGCAGTTGGTTGGATTTTTCCAACCAGCAGGATCCAAAGATAGCATTACTTGAGTATAAAAACTTAGTGTATTGGGAAGTGCAATGAAATAAATCATAAAAGCAGCCCTTTGATTTCTATTCCCCGGCAGAGAGTATTGCTTCCAGTCACATGTACAAGTATAGCTAAAGCTTACATTCAGGATAATATTTCAATTGTGAATCTTGGTATATTTCATGATCTCAGAAAAGGAAACTGTAACAAATACAAAAACCCAACTCACTTTCCTCTATGTATCAGTGCCAGGCAATACAACATCAACAACAACAACTTGACTTTTATAGCATCTTCCACGCAGGGTAGCATCTCAGAGCACTTAACAGTGGCGGAGACTGACTCCAAGGCAGGGGGGAGGTGGCGCAAGCAGGGTCGAAGAGGAAGGTTATCAGGCGAGACGTGATAAAGGGTAGAGATGGGGGCAAGGTGGACGGATTGAGGGAGAGGGTTCCAGAGCTTTGGGGCATAGTGGCTGAAAGTGCTACCTCCTTGCTTTCAGCCGGATGGGTGGAGGTGGGGTGGAGGGTGTGAGGGATGAGCAGGAAGCCAGTGACAGTCAAGCGGAGGCGCCGGGTAGTGGATTAGGGTGTGAGGAAGTTGGAGAGTTAGGGCGGTGCCAGGGGGTGAATGGATTTGAACACGAGAGTGAGGATCTTGAAGGCGATCCATTGATGGGGAGCCAGTGGAGCCTGGCCAGAACTGGTGAGATGTGGGTACGGAGTTTGGTACGGAGTTCTGAACGAACTGGATCTTTTGAATAGTGGAACTGGGGAGACCGAAGAGTGTGTTTGAGTAATCCAAGAGGGAGGTGACAAACGCATGACGAGAGTTTCGGTTGCATTTGGGGTAAGGTAAGGTCAGAGGCAGGCAAAGTGGGGGAGGTGGAAGAAGGCAACCCTGATCATGGACCGGATGTGGGAAAGGAAGGACATCTGGGGGTCGAACCGGACTCCTAGATTGCGCGCTGGTTCAGGGAGTCTAAGGGAGAGCCGAGGGAGGTTGAGGAGTTTAGATCTGCAGGAGTGCAGACGTTGACTGAAGTCAAAGAGTATGGCTTCTGTCTTGTCCACATACAGCTGAAAGAAGTTTGCACTCATCCAGGCCATTGGGGGACCTGGAGTTGGTACTGGAGGAGGCAAAATAGATTTGTGTATCATCTGCATACATGTGGAAGTTTACCCTCGTCTGCGGATGACATCGCCCAGAGGGAGCATATAGATAAGGAAAAGAAGAGGGCCAAGGGTGGAACCCTGGGGTACCCCGCAGGTGACCGGGTGGAGGCGCGAGGAGAAACCATTTGCTGAGATGAAATGGAGGAGGTTGGTTAAGTAGGACTTGAATCATGCGATTTCCTCCAATAAACCTATCTCCACATGAACATAAATGAGAGAAAATGGAAGCAGTGAAATAAGTAGAAACAGAAGGTCGGTGTGAAGAGGATCAGGGATAAAGAAAGTAAAAATACAAAAAAATGAACAAAAAAATTAAATAAAGACAATGAAATAAATATATAATACGTTAAATAAATACTCAATGGGATTAATAAAAATAACAGATTTAGTGGAAAATTTCGCTCTACAATACCATCTGTCAACCTTAAGTTAAACAAATTAATTTCTCAGATGAGAACATCCAAAGGAAACATTATGGTGTATTGAAACTCTGGTTACTTCTATTTCCACACCCTTATTGACATGTAAATCTTAAGTAATTATGTATGATGCCCTATACCAATATGGTTGATAATGACATAAATACTGCTGCATAATATTAGCTAAGTCGCCAATATCAGAATATATATGGATAATACATACCTGAAATGAATTGAGAATTGCAAATACATAATGGAAACCTTTTGGGCTGTTCTCTTGAAAAGTTGGAATTCCAAATCCCCACGTGAGACCTAGGATTGGGGTAAGAATAGCAACACTTCTCACAATTTGTTTGAATGTGTCTCTTTCCTGGGTTTGACTTGTAGTTCGATCCCCAACTGTTTTTCTCAGCAGTTTAAATATGACTATAATTAAAATGACGGCATTAATTGTGATGATCATTAACACAGGTATAATGAAGGCTAGGAGCGGGTAATTTTTCTTCCAGCCCAGCCAGCAAACATCAGATCTTGTGTAATAGTGTCTTGGATGTGCAACTCCAATGGTGATGGCCGCAATTATTAATGGACACAGATAGCCAAGAGCTAATGATGCTTTTCTCATAACTGTTCTGCTGTGATCATGGAAAACAAAAACCAAACGATACACAAGCAGCAAGCCAAGGGTTAACATCCAAAAAAACAAGGCGAGGTAGAAGAAGTGAATGAAGAAAGTAGCAGCTATGCAGCCGTTTGTATTTGGTTTCATAGAAGCACCTATAATGAACCAGATGTCAGCAACCAGTAGAGATATTGCAATGTTCAGAATTGCAAGATGCCGGGTATATGAGGTTTTATTTTTGGTTACGTGCTTCCATACCATTGCTTCTATAATGATGCTAATTACTAAGCTTCCCATAGATACAGCAACGCCAATGTAAGTTATGTATTGCAATGGTAGTTGATGAATTCAGGAGTTGAATAGGGGGACATCAGGATACTGAATGATGTCAAGTGGTTACAGTTGCAAACAACATAGCTTCCATTTCTTTTTGATGTGCAGCCAGTGTTATCCCATCCTCCGTTTCCATCAAACAGACTAAAATTCCAAAATGCACATATAGCAGTGTCTAAATCAAGGCTTTCATTCCTTACCGAGAAGGTCATTTCGGTTTCAATATCTTTGTTTGCTGTGGTTGTTATCACAAGACTATTTATTTCATGATTATTATCAAAAGTACTATTAGAAGATAAAATATCAAGCAATGTCGGGTATCCAACGCTGACCACAAGGGTATTTAATCTATTCATAAAATTGTTTTTGTCAATAAATACATTCCCAGTTAAATTTGAATTTATGAAGTCAGCAAAGGATACATTATAATGGGAAGGGTTGTTCTGATCGATTCTGACGGCTTCCAGCTGGATATTCTCGTTTTTAATAGTGAAGGACTCAGTGTTGTCAGGAAGAAATGTAGTAAATGTCTCCACTGACTTTAATAGTTGAGAACTGAGATCTTCGTTACCCTTATGTTGATCAGAGACAAAATTCCATGATTCTGTTGAGTTTTCCCCAATTACAGCACTTACTGTGTCAAGGAAATCCTGAAACAACAAGACATTATCATTAAGCAAATCATCAGATTAAATGTACAGTAAATTTACACACAAGTAAATAACCAAACAAAAAACAACAACAAAATTACATTTGTAAAGTGCCTTTCTCGTCAGGAGGACTTCCCAAGGTGCCGAACAGACAGAGTTACGGACCCAAGCTGGGGGTCAGAGTGGGGGAGGGTGGAGGGCAGGGGGGGATGCATGGAGATTGAAACCACGGTCGAAGAGGAGGGTCTTGAGATGGGTCCTGAAGTGGGACAAGGGAGGGGGCGAGGCGGAGGGACTGCGGGATGGAGTTCCAGAGGGTGGGGGCAGAGTTGCAGAAAGACCACCCGCCAATAGTGGGGCAAGCAAGAAGGGGGACGTGAAGTAGGCTGGAGCCCGCTGAGTGGAGGGAGTGAACAGGATGGTAGAGGGTTAGGAGGTCGCAGAGGTAGGGGGGAGCAAGACCATGGAGGGCTTTGAAGGTGAGGATCAGGATCTTGAACTGTATCCTCTGTGTGATGGGAAGCCAGTGGAGTTGAGCAAGTATGGGGTTGATAGGGTTGCGGAGCCTGGTGCGGGAGAGGATATGGGCTGCAGAGTTCTGGATAATCTGGGAGAGAATGTATGTGAGAGAGTGCGTGTGTGTGAGAGAGTGCGTGAGCGAGAGAGGTGAGAGAGAGGAGTGATTGAGAGAGAGCACAAGGGAGAGGGCAATGTTAGAAACAAGGAGAGTGAGGGAGAGCAGAAAGAGAGGGGAAGTGAGGGAAATGTTTCGTGATCCATTGTCAAGACAGACAGTTGGAGATTCTCTCAGCCGAGGACAGACACCGAGCGCCATGCCGTACAGTGTCCCTCTTTCCCCAGGGAGAAACTCCTCTATGTGCTTCACCCCACTCCACCTCCTCACCACCTCTACGATCTCCCCATCCTGTCGTTCTATTTGCCTAGCTAACATTGGCTTGCTTTGTGTCCCCCACCCCATCTGCCCCACCATCGCCATATTGCCACTGCTCTCTGGAGCTCCATTCCTGGTGTCTGTCCAACTCACTCCCTCCTTCCCCTCTTTCGAGAGAGTGTGTGGACGAGATGGGATGAGAGAGGGAGAGAGAGTAATTGTGTGTGAGAGTGAGTTTGTGTGAGAGAGGGAGAGAAAGTGTGTGAGAGAGGGAGAGAAAGTGTGTGCAAGAGAGTGCACGCAAGAGAGAGAGGGGAGAGAGAGAGGGGTGGGGGACAAGAGTGATTCAGAGAGAGCATAAGGAAGAGGGGAGGGAGAACAACAAAGAGTGAGAGAGCAGAGAGAGTGGGGGGGAAATGAGGATAATGTTTTGTGGTTTACTGTCGGGACAGATAATTGGAGCCTCCCTTGGCCGCCCAAGGCACCTAACTCTTTAACCACACTTTCGGTCATCTTTTCCCCTCCCATTCCACCTCCCTCAGCTCCCACCCCCAGCTCAGGTGCCCGGCCAGCAGTGTCGAACGCTTTGAGATATGCTTTCGATGTGAAAAAAGTGTTATGTTTCTGGAAGGGAAATGCAAATATGTTGCTTATGTGGCAATAATGAGGATTCACTTGCATTATTATCATCACTTTCACAATACAAAAGACATGTAACATGGAAATTGTCAATCTAGCCTTATTACTGGCCTTGTCAGATGCCTTTCTTACCTCCATTTGTGTTGAATCAATAGTGACATTGGTTAAATTTGAAAATGTTGACAAAATATTAACCACAGCTATCAGGTTTCCAGGCTCGGTTATGTCTTTTGTGTTCTCTTTTGAAGTGTTGGAAATCGTCTTAAGAAGATCGCCAAGATGTTCTGCCACAAATGTAGAGTTTTCAACAGTCTGAAAAAGAAAATTCAAAAGTATTGTATAACATATGATTTATAAGGAAATGACACACAACGGAAAAACAAGGGGAGAAATTCCAGCAACTAAATAGGTAAAATAAAAGAAATTGAGATTTTTTTTATTGGCTCATAGTGCACAAATATTGTTCAGACTGCATTCACTGCTGATAACATGCTTTCGGCATCATGCTTTCACGCTTTCGAGGGCTTTGAAATGTCCAGCAGTGGGAAGAGTCGCACTCCCAGTCTGGCCTGCAAGGTTAGTTGAATAAGGTGGCCAGATTGATTAGGTGAGCAGAGGAGTGAGACTGGAGATGATCTCAGAGGTATGGGAGTACGAGTGCATGGAAGGATATGTAATTGATGGTGAGGATCTTGAATTGACCGAAGGCACGGTTGAAGAGAATGGTCTTCAGACGGGTGTTGAAGGAAGCAAGGGAGGGGAGGAGGTGGAGGGACTGCTGAATGGAGTTCCAGAGGATGGGGGCAGAGTGGCTGAAGGCCTGCCCACCAATGGTGAGGTGGGCGAGGCGGGGAACATGAAATTGGCCAGAGCCGGCAGAGCGGAGGGAGCGGGCAGTTTGGTAGGGGGGTTACGAGGTCACAGAGGTAGGGGGGAGCAAGACCATGGAGGGCTTTGAAAGTGAAAACCAAATCTTAAACTGTATTCTCTGTGTGATGGTGGTGAGTTTGGGGGTGATAGGGTCGTAGAGCCTGTTGTGGGAAAGGACATGGGCTGCAAAATTCTGGATGATCTTCAGCCTATGGAGAGGGGATTTGGGGAGGCCGACAAGCAGGGAGTTTGTAGTTGAGACTGGATATTATGAATGCGTGTATGAGGGTCTTGGCGGCTTACCGTGAGAGACAGTGGCACAGCCGGGCAATGTTGCAGCAGTGGGGGAAGGCAGAGTGGGTCATGGCACGGATATGGAGTAGAAAAGACAGTTGATGATCAAACAGGATGCTAAGATGAGGAGCCCTGATCGCAGATGGACAAAATATCATTTGTCACTTTGACAAAAGTTATTTCTGTTCTGTGGGCGGCATGGAAGCCCTATTGGAGAGGTTCGTGAAGCGAGTGGTGGGAGAGAAAGGAATGAAGCTGGGAATCAATGACTTGTTCCAGGACATTGGAAAGGAAAGGGAGGTCATTTGAGAGCAGTGATGGGTCCCGGGAGGGTTTTTTAAGGATAGGAGTGATGACAGATGTTTTTAAAGGGGTGGGAATGGTGCCAGTGGACAGGGAGAGGTTTATAATGTCTGCGAGTAGTGGGGCAAGAAGGTGGAGATGGGAGATAAGGAGAGGGGTAGGGATGGGATCGAGCGAGCAGGTAGTCGGTTTCATGTGGTTTTTAGCAGTGGTGAGAGAGGAGGTGGAGACAGGTTTGAAAGTGTGGAGGAAGGGATGGGTAGGGGCTGAGATGTAAGGGTGAGATGGAAAGGGGGTAGTAGTCGAAAGGTCAGAGGCAGCTGAGCGGATCCCTTCAACTTTGGTTTCGAGGAAGTCCAGCATTTCCTCGCAGTTGGCATTGGAGGAGAGGATGGGTGAGGCATGAGATGATGAGCAGAGGAACTGGTTGGTGATGGAGAAGAGGAGGCTGGAGTTGTCCTTGGCCTCCAAGATTGTCCAATTGTAAAGTGAAATGTCAGAAAGTTATAATATTACCTTTAAAAGTTCACTGACTTCACTCAACAGACAGAAATTTCTTTCTGTGCCGTAAGTTCCATTTTCTAAACAGGTTCTGTTTTTGATTCCATTCTGGTTACCAGGGCAGCTCGTATTTTTTGTCTCAGTATAATTTGCTTTGCCATAAACTGGATCATAACATGGTATATTTTTGTCTAGTTAAAGAAACCAATATTTATTTCAGTTAAACAATCTAATACAATTTATATAACTTGTACATCAGGAGGAAGTCTCAAAATACTCACATTTATCAAAGAGCTACAAAGTTATACAAAGCTGCATAGCCCATGTTACTACTGGTACTGCATTATAATAAATTGACAATGCATTGTATAAATTACAAATAAAATACATATCAACTTACATATTAATACTTAACACATATTAAATACATATCACTGTATTAACTATTATTTCCACTTTGATACAATCATGGTTAAAGGGTAGAATATTGGATAGAAACTTAGTTAATGAATAAGAAATAGAGGCCAGCAATAATAACAACAAATTACATTTGTAAAGTGCCTTTCACATTGTGAGGACATCCCAAGGTGCTGAAATAAATGAATAAATGAAAATAATTTAAGCTCGAAAGGGGTTGTAAATATTTGGTTTTGAGACCTCGCTTATTCAATTGGAATTAAAGGTAGAGCAAATAATGAGGAACAATGCAACCAAATAAAGGTGGATGGCAATGGAATGCAAGTAAGTCTAAAATAATTCAAATGGAAGCAGGAATCTGAATCGTGTCTTCAGAGCATTGATCAGAAAGTACAGTAATTTGGGATATTGTGGAAAGATCATTAAAATCAACAACTGAGGGTATTGTTGCTTTGAAAAAGTACTGAGCCATAAAAAAGGCCATTGAGTCAGAAACAAATATAATGCTTAAGAGGGAGATAGATTAATACTTGGGAAGTAAGATGCAGAGAAAAGGTAGGGAAAATAATGGGATTAAATCATTTGTCATGATCTAATAAATAATAAACTGACAGAAAAAGCTTGATGGATCAAGTTACCTCCTTCTGTTCCCATGAGCGGAAAGACAGAATTCAAATCAAAACAGGAAGTTGTTATTGCATAAAGGCAATGATTAGACCCAAATCTGCACTACACAGTACAGGAAGAGTTAAACCACAGGACAATATTACTGTCGTTCAGAGGAGACAACAACATGCTTCTAAGCAGGGACCATGGCAGAGTCTATGAGGAAAGGCAGCATCTCCCTTCTGTACAAACAAAAGGGGAGAAGGAGGGGATACAGAATTGGTGACCGATCTCGCTGCTGAATGTAAGTCTGTAAGATCGCTGCAAAGGTAATCTCCAAGCAGATAATCGGTCCTCGGGCGGGTATGCCCAAAAATGTATGTACGGTAAACATGTGCGTGTACGGTGCGCATTGGGTGCCTTCCAAAAGCGGCAAGTGCGCCTTATTAGGGTGTATGCAGGTAAGCACATGGATTCAGTGCACACAGGGATGACTCCCGACTGTTTTCAAGGGAGAGTCCCAAAAAACGTGTGCACAACCTGCGTGCGGTGAAGAAACGTTACGTAAACAACAGAAAGTTTTTGTATCAGGAGAAAGGGAAAAATGTAACAGAAGATGTTGTATGTTGTGTTTGTTTTGGATTTCTGTTTTACCGAATATTATATTTATAAATAAATATATAGTTTCAAAAATAAATTAAAAAGATGCTGCTCTGGAATAGGCAGCAATCTTGTCTAAGTAATACATGAATGCTCTTAACTACCGTACTGCATAACCATCTATACAGTCTGAAACCCTCTATAATAGTCTTTATAGAAAAAATGATCGATAATATTCTATTTTTACAATAAAGAATATCTAAAAGCTTTCTCCAATTCTAATAATTTATTGTTGAATTGAAATGCTCTCTTACCTTTAAACAGCGAAATAGAAAAGCCTGCAGTCTTAAAATCGTTTATTATGGTGTCTGGTGGTAATATTTCATTGTTCTCTTCAGTGAATAGGTCAAAGAACACGTCAACACTCCCTTCACTTGTTTAATAAAAGCAACTGTTAATAATCAGAACAGACTGCCACTTTCAACAGTAAAGCATTGAATAAGACAAATTACATCATTAAATTATCAGATTGAATCAAATTCGAAATAGAATGGTTCTAATAATGGAGTTAAAAATGAGGTATAATTATCATTGTTGGAACTTCCCACCCAAAGTTGTTAAATCACTCAATAACCAGCTTTTGCAGCTGACCAGAAATTTCTGTTAATTTATTTATAAATGTAACTTCTTTGTACTGTATCCCACATTTCAGTGTTAGTTCAGAAAATAGTTGCTTAATTCAGCCTAAACCTAATCAAATTGACAGGATAGGTTAGCAGTGTGGGTAGATAAGCAACAAATGAAATTAACAGTGGGAGCTTAATTATCATTATCAATAATAATTTCATATAGTACCTTACATTTCATATAGTACCTTATCACATTATAAGATGTCTCAAAGAGCTTCACAGGATATATTGTAAAGTGGATGACTGTGTATGTAATGGGCGAACTCACAGCCAATATTGTGCATAGCAATATCCCACAAATAGCTGTGGAGTTAATGTCCAACTTTCTGGCCAGGACACCAGGGGAAACTCTTTAGTTATGATGAAAGGCTTAAAAATTCACTGGAGCAGGGAAGGATAAAAAAAGTACTCAATATTATGAAAGAGTGTGAGAGGATAATTGGTGAAATATTATTTCCATGATTAGACGAACAGTACAGTTGGTAACAAGGGGACATAAATCCAAGGTTGTTACTGGAAGTATAAAGGTGGAATTGTTAAGTCCTTGACAATTTCTCCCATTTCTGTGCCCCACCATGAAATAATTTTTGTTTCCACACATATAATCATTCCTCTCTGCTCCTATAGCAAAGTGGCCATTCCTCATATCTAAGATATGACAGTAATTGTCAGCATGTTATATGATTGTAGATATCACCATCATTATGATAATAATTAAATAGTGTTCTCATCCAGCATCTACACAGAATAGGAATAACAAATGCCTCAAATGTTAACCTGGTTCATATTTCTTCTCCACCGCCTCGCCTCTCACCTCCACGGTTCTGTCCTTGACTGGTTCCAATCTTACCTTTCCTACTGTCTGCACTTTGTGTCCACCAACAGCTTCTCCTCTGGCCTCCACATTCTCACATGTGGTGTCCCTCAGGGCTCTGTCCTCGGTCCCCTCCTCTTCAATCTACACATACTCCCACCAGGTGATGTCATCCACAGGCATGGGGTCAATTTCCACATGTATGCAGATGACATCCAACTCTATGTTGCTGCCTCCACCCTCATTTCCAGGACCATTGATATCCTGACAAATTGTGTGTCTGACATCAAGTCCTGGACAAGAGCCAACTTCCTCCAGCTCAATGTTGGCAAGTCAGAAGCCTTCCTGCTTGGCTCCCAGTCGCAGCTCCACAACCTCAGCCACTGACATTTATCAATATTCATGGCTGCACTTTTCAGCTCACCAGCAATATGAAATCTTCGACCTCCAGCTACCCTTCAAACCCAACATTCGCCTTTCCCCACATCCGCAACATTGTCTCTCACCATAGGCCGCTAAGACAATGATCCACGCTTTACGTCCCGGCTTGAATACGCCAACTGCCTGCTCGCTGTCCTTCCCAACTCTTCCTTCCACAAGCTGCAGATTATTCAAAGCTCTGCAGCATGTGTCCTCTCCCGCACCAGGCTCCGTGAACCGATCAACCCCGTTCCCGCCTGGTTTCACTGGTTCCCCATCCCTCAGAAAATCGAGTACAAAACCCTAATTTTTATCTTCAAAGTCTTCCACAGTCTTGCTCACTCATTCCCCTCCAACCCCCTAACCCCATATCAGCCTGTCCTCTCCCTATGATCGGCAGACACTGGCATGCTTCAAGTCCCCTGCACTTCAAGTGTAATTTGATGTTGCTGTTTGCAACAACAGGGCTTTGGGCAGATTTGAAATTGAACAGTGGTGTGCGAAGTTGAAGGGATCAAGAGTAGATTTTTTAAGGAGGGGAGTGATGACAGCTGTTTTGAATGAGAGTGGGACTGAGCCTGAGGAGAGGGACTGATGTGTCATGTCTCCTAGCAGTGGGCAGAGGAGGGGAAGTTGAGCGACCAGCAGCTGGGTGGCGGAGTAGGTCGAGGCAGCGGGTGTTGGGTTTCATCTGAGTGAAGGAGGATGAGAGGGTGGAATGAGAGACGAGGGCAAAGGAGTGTAAGTTGGGGCCCGTGGCAGGAGCCGCAAGAGGAGGAGTGGGTGATGGAGAGGGAATTGGGGTGGGGGAGGTGGGAGACATGGGGCAGGAGGAGGAAGCTAGGCAGATATTAACTATCTTGGAGATGAAGAAATCCAAGATCTCTTCACACTTGCCATTTGATGTGCCTAGGGATGTCCTCCCAACTTGAAAGGCTCTATACAAATATAATCTTCTTGTTATTGTTGTTGTTGATGTTAAGATTGAGTGTGCTTGATGGGACCCACGGAGGAGCAGGTGGTTAGTGGAGAACAGGATTTTGGAGTTGGTTTTGGCCTCCAGAATGATCTGCGAGTAGAATACAGTTTTGGCTTGCGAGAGGGAGCGCCAGTTGGTGTGAACATGCTCAACCCACAGTTGGCGGTGAATCGTGATGCCGATTTTGTGCCACCTGCGCTCGAGCAACCGTGTTTGGGATTTGAGGGAACGGAGAAGACTATTGTACCAGGGGGGGCGGGTAGGTTTGGAGATGATTCTGGATTTCAGGGGGACAAGAAAATTAAAGGTGGAGGAGAGGCGTTCGTTTAACAGCTTGACGGCTGCATCAGGATTTCTGCAGGTTGAAGGCTAGAGGGAGAGAAGGCCCGAGGATGAGAGAAGAATAGCAGTTAGGGTTTAATATTCTGATCGCTATCCAGTGACTCCTGCTTGAGGTATATGTGTGTGGATGGCAGTGAAAGAATATATCAGCTCAGTTATCAAGCCATTCATGTTGAATAGCCTCCAAACAATAGTAGTCACTAAACTTTCAGTAGATCATATGAATCACTTTGAGACATCATCCTGACATGAAAGGCACTATATCAAATGCAGTGACTATTATTAGTTTTAACAATCACAGTCAAAGCTCACACATAAATAATGGCTCTTTGGTGAGGTACTAGAGGATACTTGTACTCTTGGATTCATACTTCAAGGAAAGAAAAGAGCAGTGAAATATTTTCAACATAGGAGTGAAAATTGATACAATCCAATACAAAATTACATTTGTGTAGTGCTTTTCATGTCAGGAGCACTTCCCATGGACAGTCAGGGATTTGGACTTGAGCAGAGTGGGGGGGCGTTGGGATCAGGGGTGCCGGAGGGCAGGGAGAATAGGAGGGAGGGAGTGAGGCAAAGAGAATGAAGGATGGCGTTCCAAAGGGTGGGGGCAGAGAGGCTGAAGGCCCAACCACCGATGGTGGGGCAGGCCAGGTGGGGGATGTGAAGCAGGCCTGAGCTTGATAAGGGGTTAGCAGGTCACAGAGGTAAGAAGAGGCAAGGTCGTGGAAGTCCTTGAAGGTGAGGACGGGGATTTGGAACTCTGCCCTCTAGGGAATGGGGAGCTAGTGGAGCTCGGCGAAGATGGGTGTGATGGGGTCACAGAGCTTGGTACGGGAGCTGCTGAAATCTGGATGATCTGCAGCTTGTGGAGGGAGGAGTTGGGAAGACCGACAAGCAGGTAGTTGGTGTAGTCGAGCCTAGATGTACAGAAATAAACAATAAAATAAAACAATAACCTCATTTATTTCATTTACCTGAATCCTCGAACGATTACACTTGAAAAGCCTTTTACGTTTTTGTAGGCAGAAGTAAGCTAGAAAAATAGATTTAAAATAGATTTGGTAGATAGATAAAAGTACAGAAATAAATGATCAGGAAAAAAAACATAAATGAGGAAAACATATTATTCATTCTGCAGGAACATATTATAATAATAATCCTTACATTTGATATAATAATAATAATAATAATCCTTGCATTTGATATAGCGCTTTTCACATCGGGAGGACGTCCCAAAGCGCTTCACAGAACACACTGTAAAGTGAATTGACTGTATATTTGTGGGCGAACGGGGCAGCCAATTGCGCACAGCAATGTCCCACAAACAGTCGTAGATTGAAAATGACCAATTTATTACTGTTTTTTTTGGTTTTGGAGGGATTATTATTAGGCGTGTGGAGTAAGGAAACTTGCCCAAGGTTTCACCCTGACTGGAATTGAACTCAGGTCTCTCACTTGCAAAGCGAGTGCTCTCACCACTGAGCTACAGGACTCCACTATATAGCGCTTTATCACATCTTTGAGACACCTCAAAGCACTTCACAGAATATACTATAAAGTAAATTGATGTATTTTTGTGCGCAAAATGTGGCAGCCAATTGCACACTGCAGTGTCCCTCAAACAGTCATGGATTGAGCGACCAAACTACCGTTAAAAATTTTTTTTATATTGGAATACCTCTAGAAACGCAATCCACCAATCAACTAACAACTGTGTTCCTACTTACTGCTAGGTAAACAGAGGGCTGTGGAGTAAGGAAATTTGCCTAACTTTTCGCCGTTCGGGAATCTAACCCAGGTCCGCTCACGTGTGAGGTGAGTGCTCTAACCAATACACTACAGGACTCCACAAATAGCGTATGCAGACTAAAGCAATTAATTCTAAATATTAAACCCTTATTTGCAGAATTGTATGTGTGAAGCACTCCAATTAGGGCTTTCCATTGAACCAGAGAAAGTTGAGAGGTGAAATGACAGCGGTGTTAAAGATAATGAAAGGGTCTGTGAGGATAAATAGTTAGAAACTATGCAACTTTGTTAAAGCACTGATATGTTTATAGCGCAAATGGGTTGTGGTCCCCATTCCCAGCTGGCTCAACACCATCTGCTTGATCCAGATCCTAATTTCAAGTGTCTTTCATTTGCCATATGCTTTTTAACATCCACATAAACAATCAGACAGGACAACAACAACAACAACAACAAGATTCCATTTATAAAGCGCCTTTCACGTCAGGAGGACGTCCCAAGGCGCTGCACAGTTGGGTCATGACCTGACATGACATGAGGACCTCAGTTTAAAGTCTCTATTTTTGTTATAAATTTAGGTATCCAATTATTTGTTTCCAATTGTCTCCCTAGTAGCATAAGCCTTTCTGCTCCTGATCTGCCTTATCTTGGGTATGATTCCACATGTGCATCCACCAGCCTGGCCAAGTGGCCAGTGTTCTATGTGTAAACTTCCACAGTGATATTATTAGGCCGAACCTGACTTCTCCTCAGCCGCTAATCGCATTTGTGGCTCGATGGTAGAATTCTTGCCTGCCATGCTGGAGGCTCGGGTTTAATTCTCAGCCAATACAAAGTATTTAGAACTCTTGTAGCATATAGATACTGACTGTTGGGCTGAATGGCCTGTTTTGTTTCCTTGCTGTGTACTCTATGTGGGCTCCTCATATGTAGATAGCCAGTCGAGGATTCTGATGAGGGCCCAGGAGCAGGAAGCTTGACTGGTTGGCAGTGACCTAATGACCCAGAATATGCTATTTTCAAGTTTTATTGTACACTATGGGTCTTGGCCTGTCACCTAGGTTTCTCAATTTTTAAAAAAACCTCCAACTTCTCTCCTCAAGACCACATCTTTTAGCACCCATTACTCCCCACACACCATACAACATGTTTTAGCTACAAGTAGGATTTAGCTGTTGATCGACATTTAACTGATGCACAAATTCTCAATATTGCCAATGTTACAGTAATATGTTGAAAACAGTTAAAAATGGGGGAAGTATAATAATAATTCTTGTATTTTATATAGCGCTTTTTACGTCTTCTCGACGTCTCAAACCGCTTCACAGAATAGACTGTAAAGTGAATTGACTGTATATTTGTGAGTGACTACCATTCTTTGGGTGTAAACTAATCTCCTAATCTAATTTGACCACAAAGTAAACAGTCATTCCACTTTATCCGCAGTATATCCCACGAAAGTGCTTTGAAATGTCCTCCTGAAAGGCGCTATATTAAATGTAAGGATTAGTATTATTGTTAGCGTGTCGTATCACGCCATCTTATCATGTCGCAAACTACTTCTCAGGAGTTATTGGAAAATGCAGTGATTCTGTATTTTGTAGACAAATGTGGCAGCCAATTTGCAGCCAACAAATTGGCATAATAGCCATGAAATTGACCAATTTTATTGCTGGCCAAGCCACTAGGAGAAGTTCCCTTCTTTTCACAAACACGTCCTTAATGTCCACCTGAATAGGCAGATGGGACTGTTCAGGTGGACATTTTGCTGTACCTCAGTTTGCTTTATGCTGTATCAAGTTTAATGTATGAACTAAAGGATGACAATGCAATGCATCCTTAGCACTGTGTGGGAATGTCAGTCTAAAAGTGGGGCTTGAAAAATTAACCTCTGACTCAGAGGTGAGAGTGCTACCAACAGGCTGACAAACAAAATACAATTGTATACAATTTTCTTGAGGACAATTAGATGAAGTATATCTTAATACATCAAAGACAAATCATTTGATAAAATAAAAGACTCCTGCATGTTCGTGCTAAAGTTTTTAACGTTATTCATTCCATTACATACCGTCTCTTCCATTTTGGCTTTAAGTTCTTTAAATTCATTTGAAGAAGGATCCCGAAGACTTTCTGTAAATATTTTATTTTTAAGTTTTATTGCACCTTTCTGTTTGTCTGTAACAAAGCAAATAATATTCTCAATCATTATGGTTTCAAATAGAAAGAATTATATTATCATTTTTTCACCTTTTAATTCCTCAAAACTTCTCCCCACCCTACATCTGCAACCTCCTGCAACCCTTGGCTCCATTCATCTAATAATACTCATTGACCTGCTTCATGTCTCCACCCAATCTTCCCCACCACCTGCTGATCAGCTTTCAAGCCATTCTATTCCCACATTTTGGAATTCCATCCCAGAGACCCTCTAACGCGCTCGCTCCTATCATTCAAGGCTCATCTTAAGAACCGTGTTTTTGACTGTGCTTTTGATCATCTTTTCCCTCCCTACCCCCTTGACTCTCACCACTAACTCAGTAGCCGGCCAGCAGTGTCAAGCATGTTGAGAAGTTCTCTCAACATGAAAGGTACTTTGTAAATGTTATTGTGTATGGTATTGTTTAAAAAATCATCCTGCATTAATAATGGATTACTGTCATATCATTATTCATATTATTATGATTGATATGTTAACTCTTCTGAGAATAATTGTGGAAAAGTGCACAAACAGTATATTTCATATGTTAGATTATTCCAGAATTTCCACTGCATCACTTGAAATTATTTACTATTATGGGCCTGAAATTCCAGCGATGATACATTAAGAGGGTTGAGGGTTATTTTTGCAAACTTTTTAACAGTTACTATTTTGTGGAGAACGTGTGAAGGAACATGAAGAAGGTAAAAAGGTAGGAGCACAGCTAGAGAGCAAGTTTCCCAAACATCTTAGCTGCCTAGTCAAATGGAGGTTGAGGAAAGAGGGGGCCAGGGAGGGAGGAGACAGGGAGATCAGTCTTTTTGTTAAGTTTCATTTCCTGCTTAATATGCTTAATTTTCATTTGAATTTAAGTTAAATTTAAATTTACAAGTTCAATTTTCACATGGGTTAGAGTGTAAATGTAGGAGACAATCACGGGACAATATTGACTGACAGGACATTATTTTCGGGTCACAGGACGTTATTTTGGGGTCTCTCAAAATTTCCAGTTTTGAAATGTTCCTAAATGGTTTAAGTTCATACAAAACAAAGTATTGTGACATAGTTTATAACTTTTGACCCTACTTTACTTGATTGCCTGAATGACAGAGGGAGAAATCCAGAAAAGCAGGGGGTGGGGGCAGTATTGTATGCATGTTCCAGCAGTATAATGCATAAGATTGATTGAAAAAAGCACAAATTTGATGTCTGTAATAGAATTGAGGATTGTTTTTCATACTCAAACTAGGTGCAATTGTTGACAACGTTGTTGTTGTTGTTGTTGTTGTTGTTTCTTTCGTCGTCGTTGGCATTATTATTTTTTTCGTCGGTGTCGGCTTTGTCGTTTGTCCCGATGTTGGTAGTCGTGTCGTCGATTTTCTTGTCATTGTGGATGTTGTCATTGTTGTGGTTTGTATAGTTGAGCTAGTAATTGTTGAAGATTGATGTTTTGGATCACAGTATGCTCCTTCTGCTGCTGGCAACTTGATACAGCTGCAGTTGTCTTTGGCTAAATCGCATGGCTCGTATTTGTTGCAAAATGTCGAGTTCCATTGGAATTCACTGTCACACGAGCACTGAATCTCTTCATTCACAAGCTTACAGGCTGCAGTGAAAAATAATCATTGTAATAATTCAATGAATGATAATTGTGACATAATTCTGATCATTCAGTACTATTATTCAGCAAACAATGCTAATAACAAATCAAAGACTTATTCTCAACATTAAATTTCCTCTAAAGTCAAGTTTGCCTCCACTGATTCCACTGTTATAATAATAATTATTGCACTTCACATGGCACCTTTAATGTTGAGAGGACATCTCAAAGAGCATTCTCAGCATTTATTGTAAAATGTAATCCCAGTGTATTTTGTATGCGGTAGACAATTTGGGCACATCAATGCCCCATAAGCAGCCATGAAGTGAATGACCATTTTTATTTGGGGGATTGTTGGCTGGGACACCTGGAGGAACTTTATGTGACAAATCAGATGCGGTTTATTTGAGTGCCTGAATGTTACGTTGAAGACATTTAAACAAATTTCCTGTGCATCATGTGCTCTTCAGGATAACATCATTTTCCACAGCTCCTGGAGGCAGTGTTGGAGAGAGTCTCTGTGTTTGAATTGATATCAAATGAGCTACTTTTATAAGTTGAACCGCATGATTTGCAGATACAGTACATTTTTGGCACATTATCCCCAAACTCACCTGTAATAATAACAATTTCAGTAATATTTATGGAAATGCTAGGCAATATTTCATTGTGCAGCTGAATGGGATATGTTAAATTATTCAGGCGTCTTTTTGCCACCTCAAAATCAAAGGAACCAGGGATGTTTACTTGAAGAAATATCATCTGGTCCCTCTCAGTTGCTGCAACTTCAAACAGAAAAAGAGAATTAGATCAAAAACAAAAATCATAAACACGGTTAAATCTAGATTGAGCAAAACTTCAAACAAATCCTAATAAAATCATTATACTTTAATGAGATCCTCTGAGCTAAGAAGAAACCTAACCAAATTGCACAACGTTTCTGGTAGATCCAGAATAATGACCTCCCTGAAATAATACAATATGGACACAACCAAAATAAGGAACCTCATCAGTGTTGGGGAAGGGTTAATGCTGTAGAACTACCTCAAAAGGAATGCCAATTGTGGTGAGCAAATCATTTTTGTGTTACTTTCTGCAAATATAGGGTGATTGAATGATTTTTTGGGAATCCAAGATGAAGTCCAGAGTCCATAGCAGGACCAAAAGTAGAGAAGATTAAATTTAAAAGTAGGAGTTAAATAATGCCAAGCTTGGGTTTCAAAAGCCCCTGCACAGAGAGCACAAGGAGGAATTACATAGATTTACATGGACTGTACGGTACTGAAACAAACCATCCATCCATCCATCCTTACTACCTCCCATAGTTCAATTCCTCTCTCTCCCATGTGAATATCTAGCGTCCTCTGAAATGTATTTGTACTATCTGCTTCAACACTACTTCAGCCAACAAGTTCCACATTCTCACTCCACTCTGAGTGAAGAAATGCTTCCTATGTTCTCTTTTATTGGGCTGACCACCGCCTCCCGTTCGCTCTTAGTCTCGGCGTGTGCATTTTGGCTGCCGCCACCATCTCAAGCTGCTTCCCCAAAATGTTCCCACCCCTGTCCTCTACCCTCCATTACTCCCACTCGGTCCTCCTCTCCCACCGCCCTCCCCGACTCCTATCCCTGCTCGACCGTTCCACAGCCTCCTTCTGCTCCAGCCTGCGAATCCTTCGTCAGGCCCACCGTGGCAGACACCACTGGCTGTTCAACAGCAGCCACTCTGACTGCCTTAACCCCCATTCTCACCGCACAGCCCATCGGTCCATGACCACGAAGGCCAACCTGTCTTCCCTAATCCGCAGCCCCACCCTCCCTGTCAGTCCTCAGTTTGAAGGAGGTCCTGATCCTCACCTTCAAAGCCGTCATGGCCTTGCTTCCCCCCTACCTCTGTAACCTCCTAACCCACTACCATCCTGCCCGCTCCCTTCGGTCAGTGGGCTCCGGCCTGCTTCACGTCCCCCGCTTCGCCCATCCCACCGTTGGAGGGCGAGGCTACTGCCACTGTGCCCCCACCCTCTGGAACTCCTTCCTACAATCCCTTCCCTCCATTTCACCCCCTCCCTTGCCTCCTTCAAGACCCATCTCAAGACCCTCCTCTTCAACCGTGCTTTCAATCACCTTCCTTCTTCCCTGCCCTCCACCCTCCCCAATCCCTACCCCCGGGTTCCAAACAGTGACTGTCCAGTGCCTTGGGACCTCCTCCCGACGTGAAAGACCCTTTACAAATGTAATTTTGTTGTTGTTTTAGATCCCCAAGTCACGATCTTATTCATGTGACCCCTGGTTCTGAATTCCCCAACAAATGTGAACAACCTATTTATGCTAACCCGATCGAGCCCTTTTTATTATTTTAAACATCTCTATTAGATCCTCTTTTAAACATCTCTTCCATAGTGAACAAAGGTCTAACCTAGCCAATCTTTTCTGAAATCTTTTCCTGCCAGCTCTGGTATCACTGCTACAAACTACTTTGCATTTTCCTATGTTAAAACTTTTTTTGCCATCTGTCTATCCACTCTCTAGCCTGTTAATGTTTGCCTTCATTGTTTTGAGCTCCTCTTCATTATTTACCATGCCACCCCGTCCTCCACCCCCAGTTTGGTGTCATCTGCAAATTTTGACACCACACCTCCTATATCTGAGTCCAAATAATTTATGTACTTGGTGAACAGAGCGATCCTAATATGGATCCTTTTGGGTTTCTAATCATTCTTTAGTCCATTTTGTTACATCTCCCACAATTCCACAAGCCCTGATTTTAGTGATGGGTTTCTTGTGTGACACTTTATCAAAGGCCCTCTGGAAATCCAATCACACTACATCTACTGCATTTCCCTTGTCTACTTTATCCGTTACATTTTCAAAAAATTCAGTAAGGTTGGTCAAGCATGATCTTTGTTTGCCAAATTGTCTCTCTGGTCTACCTTGGCTAGTTTGTTCCACATACCATTGTCATTAGCTTTTTCTAATCAAGGACCATGATCGTTGTCTTATCTATCTCCATTGGGGATAGTATCTGAGAGGAAGGGTACCTCCAAGCTATGTTGCTCTACCATAGAGGGAGATTACTGTCTCAATAAGAAGTGAGGACCCTGATTAAAGAATCAGTGGAGCGGAAAGACAGGAAAGTGAGATTGGACGTCAAAATTTAAAGTTGACAAGTATGTTGCAAATTGCAAACACTGATTTAAAAAAAACGAGTCAATGGTTAGGTGAAAAGTAAAGGCTTTACTTAAAGGATTTCACTGAAATGGATTCTAAACATGCTGCAGTTCAGACCTTCAGGAACTTCTTATAATAGCTATTTATCTTAATAATATACTTGGTTAACCACACATTGAAGTAGAATTATTTTATTACAAAGGAACATAGGAATTAGGAGCAGGAGTAGGCCATTCGGCCCCTAGTATTACTTCAAATACTAACATGATATCTTCAACCAAACTGTAGACTTTGTAGAACATATATCAGCAAATCAAATTCACACTTTGTCTTGATCTTAAGAAAACTCCTAGATTGAAAATGACTTAGTAATTTCTTACCAGCTCTTTTCTGCCTGTTGTGATGTTTTTGAATAGTATAGTCTTTTCTTATCAATCCATCTTCTACCTAAATAATATATTCTGGTTACTTAGATTGAACAGCATTAGTATATGCAACCGCTGTTAAAGTGAGTTTAAAGTGGGAAGAGCGTTACATTATCAGTGTATCAAACATGCTGGAACTATGTTTCAGTTTAGTTTGACTGCAACCTTCAGATCAACATCTGTAACATCAAATAATGGTAAGTGTGATTATATTGTGAAGCATTGTAACAATAATATTAATCTTTATATTTGATATAGCGCTTTATCACGTCTCAAAGCGCTTCACAGAATATGCTGTAAAGTGAATTGACTGTGTGCTTTGTCAGTGAAACGCGGCAGACAACTGCACACAGCAGTGTCCCACAAACAGTCGTGGATTGAAGAACAAATTTTTTTTTTAAGGAATTATTACTCCCGGAAAAGCAATCTGCCAATCGAATAAAAAATGGGCTCTAACTTACTGCTAGGTAAACAGAGGCATGTGAAGTAAGAAAACTTGCCCAATGCATCGAACCCAGTTCTACCTGCTTGCGAGGCGAGAGCTCTAACAACTGAGCTACAGAACTTAAGGAAGTTAGCTACTCACTGGAACATGACGTTTTGAATTCTTCCGATGTCCTTCATTTTCTGAATACTTGCAGGCAATTAACAGGAATAGGCAAAGTAAGATGGTCCGAAGTGCCATTATGGAAATGTTCAGAATCAAGGAAATGCTGAAACAAAGAATGTTTGTTGGGGGGGAAAAATACAGTGACTATTTGAAAATAAAACTTTTATTGCCTGCTTCTGAATGCATTTTAATATGAGGAAATAGCTTAAAACTTCTAATAATTCCCAATGAAGCACTGGCCTATTTTCAAAATGTTGTATCCATTTTTATCAGTGAGCATTCCTCTTTTCATTAAAAATGGTGCAAAAGTATTAACAAAACGCTTATAAGCTGCCTCAACACTTTGCTTAATAATAATATTTATATTTGGTATCGTGCCTTTCGAGTCAGATGGACATCTCAAAGTGCTTCACAGGATTTTGCTATATAGTGCTGTAACTGTATGTTTTGTGAGCTTTCTCAAATACAAGAGAAATTTTGTTTCTTTACCAGGTAAGCATTAACAAAAGACAATCCTTGAGAGAAACAGATTTTCATCCAAACTGATTAATTTTTAAAGGTACTCCACAAAAGTCTCTGGGTTTTTACGAATGCTTGTTGTCAGAGAAATACATAGGAAGTATTCTATAAATTCAAGTCCAACCTCCTCAAAAAAATCAATTAAATTCATAAGAATTGACTAACCCTTCACAAATCCATGCTGACTCTCTTTGATTAGGTCATACTAGTCCAAATGCTCAGTCACTCTGTCCCTGATAAGAGACTCCAGTAACTTCCCCACAATTGTGGGGATCAGTGAAAAGTCAACAGTGAAAGTCGAAAAGAATTACAAGGAAGTGAACAATAAAATACAGTACAGAAATGTTATTGAAAATACGTATCGTATGAGAACCCTACTGAGATACTACAGGAAAGTTTTCTAGTACATACTCGTATCTAATCAGGTCTACTAGACTTAACCAATTATAATCTTTTAAATAATCAGACTACTTTATAGAGCAATGCCAACATTAATGAATTGCCAGAATGAGATCTGTAATATGTCACCTGTAATGCAAACTTACAGAGAAGTATGGAGCTATATTAACTTTTCAAAGTAGATAAAATGTGTTTATTAATGCATTTTGTGCTTGACAAAGCTATGTATGTTAGTTCTCGGAAATGGAAGACTTGCATTTTGTGAACTCAGTGTCAGCATTGAGTACTTCTAGGTTACTTGGAACAAAGTACAGCTTCCTGTATTCTAACCTGTAGTCTGAAAAGTACCTTCTTACACCAGCACATCTTCCATTTACCACATTATCCCATCTTGGGGCTCTTAAAAGTTAAATAACTTTTAAATACTAATAAGATGACACCTACTGGAGCTATCTTCATTTCCACATGGGCTAAAAGGGAGATAGCCAAATATAAAGATTTTCACTCCAGCAGCTTTAACTGGAATCAGACCCCGATCCCAACAGTGAAAGGCCAGCATGCTAGCCCGTGACACCTGTTCCCCTGATAGTTTGAATTTATAAGCAATACAGTCAGATTTTCACAATGTGAATTAAACTCGTTAGTTATGGTTGGTGTTGACGGAAGTGAGTTGCAATTTCTGAAAAACTACATCCAACGCACGGTTTGTCTGCTGTTTAAACTGGGGAATGTCTATTATTAAGAGTAGTTCGGGGATGAGTCAGAACAACAATAACAACTTGAATTTATACAGCACTCTCCACGCTGGTCGGTATCTCAGAGCGCTTAACAATGGCGGAGGCAGATGCAGAGCCTGGGGGAGGGGGAAGATGACCATAGGCACGGTTGAAGAGGAAGGGCTTCAGGCACAACCTGAAAATGGGGAAAAAGGGGACAAGGGGAAGGGATTGAGGGAGGGAGTTCCATAGCTTCGGGGCGTAGTGGCTGATAGCACAGCCACCACTGCTGGAGTGGAGGATTTGAGGGACAAGGAGGAGGCTGGAGTCAGTAGAGTAGAGGCAGTGGGTAGTGCTGTGATGAGAGAGGAGGTTGGAGATAAGGGGGCGCCAAGGAATGGAGGGATTTAAACACTAGAGCAAGGATCTTGAAGTCGATCTGCTCTATGATAGGAAGCCAATTACAGCAAGTAATTGGTGCTATACAATTACCATTGGATATCCTAATTCAGGGAGGGGCTCAATGCCAATAAAGAATGAGCGCCATGGTCACTATTTTTCTATCTGATGACAACAAAGATACGTGTTCTGACTATTGATGAGTAGGAGTCAGGGGATGATTCTTCGTGCACTTTACATTAATTTCATTACACTGCTGGTGTAGTGGTATCATGCAAGATTTCCATTCTTGCGACCCAGGTTTGATTCCCGGGCGGAGCATCATCTTTTGTGGAGTCCTGTAGCTCAGTGATTAGAGCATTTGCTTTGCAAGTGAGAGACCTGGTTCAATTCCCAGCAGAGTGAAACCTTGGGCAAGTTTCCTTACTGCACATGCCTGATAATAATTCCTCAAGAAAAAAACCCAATAATAAATTGGTCACTTCAATCCACGACTGTTTGTGGGACACAGCTGTGTACAATTGGCTGCCGAGTTTCGCCCACAAATATACAGTCAATTCACTTTACAGTATATTCTGTGAAGCACTTTGAGACATCCAGAAGATGTGATAAGGCGCTAAATCAAATGCAAGGATTATTATTATTATTACAAGTGGCTGCTAGCATGTGTAGTGTTAAGTGTGATTAATGTTTGTTATCTCATAGTTATGTTTGTTGACACTTATTGTGTCATTTAAGACTTAATGCCGAGGGTTGTGGATTTCATCGAAGTTACATTAAAATTCTGTTGAGCTCAGTTAACCATGCTTAACTCGAGCTTTCTGTATAAATCAAAAGAGGGCATAAACAAACAGGTTCAGCCTAGGTCACAGAGGTGTAAAACAAACTTCTGGTTGACTGGGACATCCTCCCGACGTGAAAGGCGCAATGTAAATGTAATTTTGTTGTTGTTGCTGTCGTTAAAGCTTCCCAATATGCTATAATTTAAATAGTAATTGGTAGTGCCTGTCGCCATGGAAGAATTCATTAGTCAATTTACATCTAGTTATAGGGACTTGCGAAGACTGAACACAAAGGTCATCCAGTACACTGCGAGGGAGAGCAAGCCATATCATGGGTGTACATATAAGGGTGATAGAACCGTCTCACTTGGTGCCCAAATGTGTGGGGCTTGAGAGCACTAAAGCAGGCCAACGGACTAAGGTTTTATTCTTAGATTAAGGTAAGTAAAAATGGACGCAGCCAGCGACCGGGATAACAAAATAACACAGAACATTTCTAAATCTGCTGTCAAAATGGGGAAACCCAGTGAGAGAACTCATTCTCCAGGGGGATGTGGCTATACAGGTGAGACATGCTTGTGAAAGATATGAAAACCAAAGAAAGAGTGGGGGTTGTTAGTTGAAAGAAATTAAATAGTAGATCTGGTAACAATACTGAGTACTTTGATTTTCAGAACTCAGACACACTCACATTAAAACATCCTGCAGCTGAATGTGGACAAGACGGAACCCATACTCCTTGGCTCCCGAAAAATGTCTTCACTCCTGCAGATCTAATCTCCTCAACTTCCCTGGGCTCTCCCTCAGACTCACTGAACCAGTGCACAGTCAAGGCATCAGGTTCGACCCCCAGCTGTCCCTCCTCCCCCACAACCAGTTCCTGACCACCTTCTTCCACCTCCGCCACATTGCCCGCCTCTGATCATACCTTACACCAAATGCAGCCGAAACCTTGTGCATGTGTTTGTCACTTCCCGGCTGGATTACTCAAACGCACTCCTCGCTGGTCTCCCCAGCTCCACTATTCAAAAAAAACAGCTCATTCAGAACTCTGCCGTCTGCATACTGACCCGGAACAAACTCCGAACCCACATCCCACCAGTTCTGGCCAGACTCCACTGGCTCCCCAACACCGAATGGAACGACTTCAAGATCCTCACACTCATGTTCAAATCCCTTTTGGTAGAGGACAGGGGATAATGGGTTAAAGAGGTGTTACTGATGCAAAACAAAGGGGGTGATTGCAACAAATCAGGGGAATAGAGGTATTAATACTGGAGGACAAAGCGGGAGCGAAATTAGTAAGAAAAAATGTTTGGACAGCCCTGAACTACTCAGACTTATCTGAGGACCAGGACATCCAGATGTTTAGGCTCACCTCACCATGAAATAATTATATCAAGGGAAATGATTATGATTCCCCACCCCCAGCCCACTCTGGACATCCATCCTAGAGTCCTTCTGACTCCCTCCCTTCATTCCCATGTTCAAAGTATGTCTCAAGATGCACCTCTTTGACCTTGGTTTTGGCATCTTTCACCTCCCACCCCCCTCGGTTCCCACAACCTACTTGGGTGCCCAGGCAGCAATGTCAAACACTTTGAGATGTCTTCCCAACCTGAAAAGTGCTATGTAAATGCCCTGCTCCTGACAACACCCTGAAGTGGTTTTAAGAAACAGTGTTTCATACCCATGCAGTGGAAATGTGGCAGAGGGGGAAATCACAATTCAAACGCTCTCTGGCAAAGAACTTTTTACGAACTCCCCTTTCATTCTTCTTGGAATCATCTTAAATCAGTGATTATAATATAATAATTGGCTGCCATGTTTCGTCCACAAAATACAGTCAATTCACTTTACAGTATATTCTGTGAAACACTTTGAGATGTCTCGCAAATGTTTTGAATCTTAGATTTAAAAAATCTAAATTTACATTTGATATTATGCCTTATCGTGTTATCAAGATGTCTCAAAGCACTTCACAGGCTATACTGTAAAGTGATGAGGCCATATTTTGTGGGCAAGTGTGGCAGCCTTTTCTGCAAAGCAATGTCTCACAAACAGTCATGAAACAATGACCCATTTCATTTTGGGGGAACTGTTGGCCAGCACACCAGGAGAAATTCCCATCTCTTTTTGAGTAGTGCCATGGGATCTTTAATATCACCTGAATAGGCAGATGGGAATTTGGTTTCATGTCTCATTCAAAGGACAGCGCCTCCAACAATGCGACACTGTCCTCAATCCTGTTTTGCAGTGTCAGCATCGACCTGATGGATTCCAAGTCT